GATCCCAGGACCCTGGGATCATGACCTGAGCCGAAGGCAGACGCTCAACGACTGAGCCACCCAAGCGCCCCAAAAAAACAATAAAATCTTAAAAAAAAAAGCATTCTAAGTAAGAATGTTGTTTGCAGATCCAGTTGAGACTGGTGTTGGAGCACTTTTCCATTCTACAAGTCAGCATCACAGGTATTACTGGAAATAAAGTCATCCCTCCACAAATCAATGCTAACTAGAATATAACCGTTCTCTCCCATAAACACGATTCCTGCCCTTTCCATAATGGTTTCCCTAGCTTGATATAATGAATTGAAAATAATTTAGTAAACCATTTGTATCTTCCACATGTGCAGTTAATAATGCAATAGCCCATCTCCATGCCTTTACTTGTGTAAGATTTTAAAACCTTATGTCGCTGTGAATTTTTACAGATTAGTGGGGATGAAGTAGGCTCTTGCATTTTTATAAGGCTTACAGGTTTGTCGCTATTTTTTAATAAATTTAATTAAGATTAAGTCTCAGGGGCGCCTGGGTGGCTCAGTCGGTGAAGGGTCTGCCTTCGGCTCAGGTCATGGTCCCAGGGTCCTGGGATCGAGCCCCGCGTCCGTCGGGCTCCCTGCTCTGCGGGAAGCCTGCTTCTCCCTCTCCCACTCCCCCTGCTTGTGTTCCCCCTCTCGCTGTCTCTTTCTCTGTCAAAAAATAAATAAAATCTTAAAAAAAAAAAAAAGATTAAGTCTCAAAGATCTTTTCAAAGAGCAGTCTGGTTTTTTTTTTTCTTTTAATGATTATGCTTTGACGCAAGTTGAGTCTATAGCAGTGATGGTTACTTTTTTGGTGAAAATGGTGACCCTCCACTAATCTTTCCAAATGAGCAGCCTTTTTTTTTTTTTTAAAGATTTTATTTATTTATTTGAGAGAGGGAGAGGGAGAAGCAGGCCTCCCGCGGAGCAGGGAGCCCGATGTGGGGCTCGAGCCCAGGACCCTGACAACATGACCTGAGCTGAAGTCAGACACTTAAACCGACTGAGCCACCCAGGCGCCCCTCCTTTTTTTTTTTTCAGTATTTTAAAATTTATTTTAGAGAGACAGTGTGTGTGCGAGTGGGGGGAGGGGAGCAGGGAGCCCCACAAGGGTCTC